CTGGCAGGGAACTGGGTCCTGCCACCACTGGCAGGCCAACCACGGAGCAAGCCTGGAAGTGGATCCTGCCCCAGCTGAGTCTCTATGACAGCCCTATGGGATGGGACACTGGGAGCCCACACCATGATCGCAGCCTATGAGAGACCCTGAGGGAGGGGTCCTCTAAGCATGCCCAGATTCCTGACCCACAGGAACTATGAGTCCAAAACATGGGATTTTTTTCAGCTATAAATTTTGAAGTAACTTACTATGCAGTGATGGATAACAGTGCAGACCCCAGCTGAAACTTGTATCCTCTTACTCCAGACCCTGAGTCAGAGGCCAGCCTGGTGCTACTGCTGGGGCAGTGTGAGCCCTCATTTGCAACACAAGAGGGTGGACCCCAGTCCCTTCCAGGCGAGAACTCTACATACCTGCTGGCATTACCATGTAACGAGCTGTTCTCCTGCACAAAAGCCTTACCCTTTCTTGCCACTGTAGACCCAGGCTCGGAGCTTTCAGGTGTGCCCTAATGCCCAAAGGTGGGCACTGAAACCCTTTGTAAAATGAGATGAGCCATTCTTAAATCGCCTAACATTTGGAGACTAGGAGTACCTCTGAAACTATGAAAGCAGAAGCATTTCTCGAATTCTTTTTTTTTTTTCTTTTTTTTTTTTTTTTTTGAGAAGGAGTTTTGCTCTTTTTGACCAGGCTGGAGTGCAATGGTGCGAACTTGGCTCACTGCAACCTCTGCCTCCTGGGTTCAAGTGATTCACCTGCCTCAGCCTCCTGAGTAGCTGGGATTACAGGCATCTGCCACCATGCCCAGCTAATTTTGTATTTTTTTTTTTAGTAGAGACAGGGTTTCACCATATTGGCCAGGCTGGTCTAGAACACCTTACTTCAGGTGATCCACCCATCTCGGCCTCCCAAAGTGCTGGGATTACAGGCGTGAGCCGCTGCGCCTGGCCTCTTGAATTCTTCTTCAGGTAACCTCCCTGCCTTGCTCTATTTTTTCTCTAACATTTCCACCATCTAATGAGCTTTATTATTTACTGATTGATGCCGTCCTTTGCACATTGTCTGTCTCAACCCACCCACATGTACTCAAAAGAAATTCTGCCAATCAGTAATCCTTGTCTGTCTGATTCACTGATGTATTCCAAGCACCTAAAATAGTTTTGGGAGCACAACATTTGCTCAATAAATAATTGCTTAATAAACGATTGTTTTGGGGAGGCAGGTAGGGTGGGGTAAGGAGGGGAAGGTATTAGGATACAAGTCACAATCAACTTTGAACTGTGCTGCATTAAATTTTTTTTATTAGGCTGGGCACAGTGGCTCACACCTATAATCCCAGCACTTTGGGAAGTTGAGTCGGGCAAATCACCAGAGGTCAGGAGTTCAAGACCAGCCTGGCCAACATGGTGAAACACCATCTCCACTAAAAATACAAAAATTAGCTGGGCACGGTGGTGTACACCTGTAATCCCAGCTACTCAAGAGGCTGAGGCAGGAGAATCACTGAACCTGGGAGGTTGCGGTTGCAGTCCGCGGTGATGGCGCCACTGCACTCCAGCCTGGGTGACAGAGTGAGACTCCATCTCGAAAAAAAAAAAATTATTAAATGCCCACACTGGATCTTAAGCCCCAGTTTTACGCCCTAACACGGAGCTTTCCGAGAGTTGACCCAGTACAAGTTATCGCTTCCTCAGCCCTCGGAAAGTCTGCAGCCCCTGACCAATTAATCTCAGAGAAGCCAGCTATGGATGGAATGTTTGTGTCCCCCCAACATTCATATGTTGAAATCCTAACCCCAAATGTGATGGTATCAGGAAGAGAGGCCTTTGGGAGGTGATTAGATCATGAGGGCAGAGCCCTCACAAATGGGATTAGTACCCCTGTACAAGCCCAACAGACCTCCCTTGCCCCTTCCATCATGTGAGGTTTCAATGAGACTGAGGTCTGGAAACCAGGAAGTGGGCCTCACCAGACACGGCACCCGTGGCATCTTGATCTTGCACCTCCCAGACTCCAGAACTTTGGAAATAAATGTGTTGTTTATAAGCCACCCAGTCTATGGCATTCCATTAGACCATCAGACTAAGACAGCCTCTATTAGAATCCCCAATTCCTGGCTGAGTGCGGTGGCTCACGCCTGTAATCCCAGCACTTTGGGAGGCAGAGGCGGGTGGATGACCTGGGGTCAGGAGTTCGACAGCAACCTGGCCAACATGGCGAAACCCCGTCTCTACTAAAAATACAAAACAGAAAAAAAATTAGCTGGGCATGTTGGCAGGAGGCTGTAATCCCAGCTACTCTGGAGGCTGAAGCAGGAGAATCGCTTGAACCTGGCAGGCAGAGGTTGCAGAGCTGAGATCGAGCCGCTGCACTCCAGCCTGGGTGACAAGGGCAAAACTCTGTCTCAAAAAAAAAAATAAAAAAAAAAAAATCCCAAATCCCCTCCCATTTTCCCAGGCTGCCTGCACACATTACACCTTTCTATGTGACCCAGGAAGGCTGGGAAGCATTGGCAACGCTAATCAACCTTAATTATGAAGTTCAAAACAGACCATTTTTGAATATTAGTCTGTGGATAATTATATACCGAATTGGACACTTATTCTTTTTCCTGCCTAGACTTTACTACTCTTCTGTTAGTAATAGAATGTGTATTTTTCTAGAAGAGCCCTTTACTTCTCTGCTCCTGAATCTCTAACAACATTCGGGTCAGGGCTGGGCACCTGACTCCATCCTGGCCAATCATAGCATGGGCTCTTCATGGCCTCAGTGAGTGGTTCATGGTGGACACTTGACTCCAGCCTGGTCAATCATGCAGGACTCTTCTTGGCCTCATTGAGTGGTTCATTGGTCCACTCAGATAGACACCTGACTCCAGCCTGGCCAATCATAGCATGGACTCTTCATGACCTCAGTGATTGGTTCATGGTGGACACCTGACCCAGGCCTGGCCAATCAGAGGATGGATTCTCCATAACCTTGCTGATTGGTTCAGGGGTGGGCACCTGAGCCAGGACTGGACGCATGGATTCCCCAGGTCACAGCAATTGGTCCAGATTCCTGGAGGTGATCCAAGTCCAGCTGGTAAGACTCCATTTAGGGATGTTCCTTTGAATTGTTGTGACAAAAGCTTGCTTCTTTTACTGCAGTTTCTGCAAGGATAGAGAATAAACCTGAACCTCCAGCATCTGTCTCTGGATCATGAGGCTGCCTGATAAAAGAGCCTGCATGAAGGAAAGCTGAATGAAGAGGTGGAAAGATTGAGGCAAAGTTCTGATGACATCATCTGAGTGCCTGGATCCAGCTGTGCCTGAAGGTAGGATTTTCAGTTACGTAAGACAATAGTTTCCATTTTCTTGCTTATGCCAGTTGGAATGGGAAGAGTTCTAATCCAATAATGCACAGAGGATATAGCTTACAAACCAGCCCATCTCGTTTTCCTTGTCCTCAGTGCAAGGCAACAAAAAGATGCCAGTGCACATGTCACTGATAATTAAGTTAACATCGCATTATCTCTGACGGCATTCTGAGTGGCACAGTGCTACAGAAGAGGAACATTTTACACAGCCACGCTCCTGACTGTTGTCCCATTGGCAGAAGGACTCACCAAGCTGCCAGTTTGTCTGGTGTTATAAATGTCAGACCCTTGGTACCACTGAGCTACTTTGTAAACCTTAAGAGCACAGCGGAGAGGACTGTCTTCTTACCTGTGCCCACATGCACAGTGTCTTAAAGACAGCAACAGGGTCCTTTATGTTTCTCAATCACTGATCCGCAGGTGAGTTATGCGATAGTTTATTTAGCACAAACACTAAGTCTGAGCAGCAAATAGCCCTTTTTACTCCGGATAAGCATGTGAAACATTGGATCTTCTGGCTGAAACACCAAATCGTATATTTCTCACCCTGCACTCAGCCACTCCAGTGACAGCTACAGAGCAGGCCCGGATCTGAACAGGCTGAAGTATGTGACACAGGACAGCAAAGTGGGAAGTCTGCAGTAGTGGCGCTCAGGCCTGGGCAACTGGCGCGGTGTGTGGTCCAGGGAGCTCTCCAATTACACAGCCCTCCTCTCCCCCAGATTCTGACAAGTCCCCAGGGGGCAAATGCTTTGTAAAGCTTCCCGGGGATTCCCTGGCGGCCCCCACTCTAGGCTGAGAATCAAAGCTCTGAATTGCCCTTGCTGTTGATAAGCCTCATACGCTAGTGCTCCAGGCCCTGGTCAGATGAGGCATGGGACTTAATCTACAAACACCTTATCTTCAAAGGGAAAATATTTTCATGATTGCCTAAGTAGTAACATGGTCATTACAGAAGATTGTAAGATACCAAAAGCTATACTGTAAAGAAGAAAAAAATCCACCCATACCTTGCTAGTCTCAGCGTCATCGCCACCTGGGCACTTGTTAGGAGTGCTCCGCCCACCCACACCCCCGCCAGACCTCGGAATCCGAATCTGCCTTTTTCCCAGACCCCCAGAGGGTTGTGTACCTGTTCAAGTTTGAGAAGCCCCGAGCTAGTAATTCTACAACTGCATTTGAGTGTCTTGTAGCATCTTATACTTTTATTAAAGTTGGGATTAATGTTGGATAATCAATGCTGCAATCGGCATCATTAAAAATGTGATAGTAACTGTATTTTAGTATGACTCAAATACTCAGTTTGGTGTGCTGCTTCTCTCCCTGAATTGTGTACAGTATCCACCATCACATCGTTTGCTTCTGAGGCTTTCTTAAAACCCAGTTTCTCCCTTCATCCTCAGCTGGAGAATAAACCAGCAGGCGGCACACAACGGGTTAATGTCTACCGATTGCGTTAATGCCCATCTAAAGACCCAGCGGCCACCCCAGCAAAGCCGAGATGCTGCAATGTTTGCCATGCGTTTGCTTCATGTTGAGAGATGGGCCGAATGGAGGTTTCTTTGTGTTTGCGTGTATTTGTGTGTGTGAGTGTGTGTGTGTTCCCCGCAGTCTCCGTGGGTGGCCTCCTGCGGGTGAATGCGCAGTGTTCCTTCCCACTGTGGCTGATCCTGCAGGGTTTCCAAACCTCCCTCCCCGACAGACAGCCGGGGAAGCACGTCTCTGCGACGAGAAACCCAAGGAAGCTGCAGAAGAGATTCTTCGTCTGCCCCTGTTCGGGGAAGCGGGGAAGCCCCTCGTCCGCAAAGGTCTCTTTTCCAAGCCCTGTTTCCTTTTACACACGTAGTTCTGGAAGGTGCCCAACAGACTGTCCGGTGTCCCGGCCTTCTCCGACAGCGCCGGGAAACAAGAGGTGGCTGCTGCTCTTGCAAGTGGGCATGAAGGCCTGAGCCGAGCTGGGCGTTCAGGGCCAGGAAGGCAGGAGGGGAGTGGCTGGGAGGAGGGGGCGCTTCGCAGGGTCCGTGGCCTGAGCTGGACACTAGGCCACAGGACGGGGAGGCGACAGTGGAATTACTGTCTGCCAGTCCCCAGGGTCTGTCATCTCTCTTGGCTTTCCCCGGAAGAAGATTTCTCTCTCTCTCCACACACACACACACACACAGACACACACACAGACACACACAACAACAGACACACACACAGACACACACACAGACACACACATACACACACACACACATACACACAGACACACACACACACACACAGACACACACATACACACAACACACACAACACACAACACACAAACACACACACACAACACACACACACAACACACAACACACACACACACAACACACACACACACACAACACACACACACACACACCACACACAGACACACACACACACCAACACACACACATACACACACACACACACACACCACACAGACACACACAACACACACACACACAACACACACACACAACACACACAGACACACACACACAGACACACACACACAGACACACACAACACACACACAAACACACACACAGACACACACACAACACACACACAACACACACACAAGACACACACACACAGACACACACACAAACACACACACAGACACACACAAACACACACACACACACAGACACACACACACACACACACACACACAGACACACACACAACACACACACAGACACACACACAGACACACACACACACACACACACACACAACACACACACACACACACACACAGACACACACACACACAGACACACACACACACACACACACACACAGACACACACACACAGACACCACACACAACACAGACACACACAACACACCACACAGACACACAGACACAGACACACACACAGACACACACACACACACAGACACACACACACACAGACACACACACACACACAGACACACACACACAGACACACCACAGACACACACACACACAGACACACACACACAGACACCACACAGACAGACACACACACACACAGACACACACACAACAGACACACACACAGACAACACACACACACACACAGACACACACAGACACACACACACACAGACACACACACAGACACACCACACACACACAGACACACTCACACACACACAAACACACAGACACACACAGACACACACAGACACACACACACACACAGACACACACACAAGACACACACACAACACAGACACACACACACACACAGACACACAGACACACACACAGACACCACACAAACACAGACACACACAGACACACACACAGACACACAGACACACACACAGACACACCACACACACACAGACACACACACACACAGACACACACACAGACACACTCACACAGATACACAGACACACACAGACACACACACAGACACACAGACACACACACAGACACACTCACACACACACAGACACACACACACACAGACACACACACAGACACACTCACACACACACAGACACACTCACACACACACAGACACACACACAGACAGACACACAGACACACACAGACACACACACAGACACACACACAGACAGACACACAGACACACACACAGACACACAGACACACACACACAGACATAGACACACACTCACACACACACAGATACACAGACACACACGCTCTCACACACACACTCACACTCACACACACACACACACACACCATGCGCCCCCGCAACCACTTGCACAGACGTAGGTTCCTGGAACTGTTTCCCCCAGTTCTCTCCCTCACACATCTTCACCCCATGTCCTGCCCTGATCTGGTGTTCTGGGCATGGCTCCTTTTATTGCTTTTTCAAAGGAGTCTGTGGTTTTATGAGGGCTGTTTGGCCGGCAGAGGTTGGGCTAGGCCGGTTTTCGATGCCTGTGGCCCCGTCAGCCCAGGGAACAGGCCACCGAAGCTGAGCAGCTGCTCCTGAAAACAGCCCGGGACAGCTCTTCCCAGCCTCCGCCGCTGCACTGAGCACTGCACTCTCTCTCCCCTCCGCTGCTAGCTCTGATGGCAGCCCCAGGCCTCTCAGTAATCCTCAGCAACTCAAGCCTTCGCCGGAGTCCTCGGCGGGTGGGCGGCTGTAAAATCTTTTTGTTTGCTGCCTTGTCATCCTCTTCCCATCCCCAACGCCCATGGTCTGGGAAATAAACACCCAGTACAAAAACTCCCTGTTCGTATCTGGTAAATTTTCAACTAAAAAGTTCAGCATTCAGGTGAGTGGGCTCAAGATCCAGCTGGTTTGAAGAGAGGAATAAAGGACAAGGTGTTGGGCGTGGGACCGGCACCCGCTGAAACCCGCATCCTGTGGGTGCCCGGTGTGGGTCGCCGCTGGCGTCACAACGCACAGCCCACCTGCTCTGCCAGCTTCCGCGACCTTGATCTCAGCCAATCCTGTTTTGGGCCCCATCACAGTCTTTCTGTCTGTGGAGCTGGGCAAGCAGGAGGTTTCTCAGGGCCCAGGATGGTTTTTCAGATGTGGATATTGGCCAACTCCCGAAGTTGCTAGAAAAATGTAGGCAGCTTGGCCACCTAAGTAAAAGCCATCCATGGCATTTTTCCCAGCCTCAGCTGAATTCAAACCACTGAACTCTTGTGGTTTATTTTTTTTACAGCTTTTCGTAGCTAACAGGACTGGATGCCTTTAAAAAACTTCTCAAAATAATATTTTGAAACCTACCATTATTTGGTTTTCCCTCTGTAAAGGCTAATCTGTCATCATTTCCCCATAGCTTGCTTTGTGGAAGGGAGTGGGTGAGGGACAAAGGAAAGGTAACATGCTGACCAAGACAAGCCCGGCGTGAAGGAAGGGTAAGTCCCGCGTTCCAGGCCCTGTGCGGCCTCTGCCCAGCACAGTGACGAGCTTTGTGGGCCTCAGTGCCCTCCTCTGGAGAATGGGAAGAGTAGTACGACAGGCCTAACGACAAGACAGTTCTGTGATTAGGCTGATGTTCGTCAGAGCGTGTATTCACTGTAAAGTGCTACATAATATGAATTGTTGTGCTTTAACAAATAATCTGAAAGCAGTATAAAGTGCTTCTGGACTTGCAGATATCAAGAAACCTGGGTATCTGGGTTATTCATTCTCGGTTGGCAAAAGGTGGTCCCTGCATGATCAGCCCTGCAGGCCCCATGTGTTCTTTCAAGGCCTCAGGCTTTTGGAAAGCTTCTCAGTGCAGCAAGCATGAATAGCAAGGGCTACTCCGTGCTCTTTACTTATCGGTTTTTGCCTTAAACCATGACAGTTGCCACAAGGGTTAGGGATGCGGGTAGCGTTGCAGACAGGCTGACAGAGCTTTGAGTTCTATCTTGGCCAATTAGCTCAGCTTCTCTGAGCCCAGTTTCCTCATCTGTAAAACAGGTATAACAACAACAACAACAATAGTAATAATCTGCTGATATGATTCTTGTGAGATTAAAAGACAATGTTCACACATTGCTTACCAATATGATATCTTGCACGTTGATTAAATGAACGTAAGATAATGGTGTTGATAATTATTTTAAGGAATTTGAGAGAGAAAATTCCCACCTATGAGTTCCTTTGCACCTAGTGGTGGGACTTTCTCTTGGTCATGCATTCATCTGACAAGCGTTTACTGAATACCTTCTACGAGCTCCTGGGAGATCAGAATATGCCATCCCCAAATACGAAGGACTGTTCAGCTGAAAATGATTAAGAAGCAGATGCAGGCACCCCTCAGTCTTCCCTCTGTTTGTCTAAAAGCGGGACATAGATTTACAGAGACAAAGAGTATTCCTGCCCAGGAGAACAAAGGTCGACCACTGAAGGCTGCTTTAGACTCTCATCGGCCTAGAGGTGATACAGAGGTCTCTACTTCACCGGCTGTCGAGCCAGCCTTTATCCACCATGGGTTTGCCTTCCCGCAGGTTGCCCGCAGAGACTTACAGTCCTTTTCCTTTGTTTTGTCCCTTCTCTAAAAATGTACTATTCTTTGTTGAAGATCTTACGTAAGCTGGGGGTCAAGGCCACTTCTTGGAGAATGATTCAGGACAGTTCTCTGGGTATCTCCCATGTATATATAAAATACACATATTAATCAACTTCTGTTTGTTTTTCTCTTGTTTATGTGTCCTTTGTAACAGGGGTTCATTACAACTAAGAACCTACCAGGAGTTACTCTTCCCCCACAAGATCCAGAATGCCTTTCGGTTTCCTCTAATGAAGCAGCAGCCTGACCAAGTCCTACCCACTGCTCTAGTCCCGAGAACTCCAGCTGCAGCGCACAAAAGGAAAGTGAACACGGGGAAAGCTGGGACTTTGTTGAGGGTCACAGAGGAGCGGTTCCACGGGGTGCCAGGGGTGTGGGAGCAGAGTCTTGGCCTTTGGAGCAGGTAGCCTGCATGGTGAAAAGTGATGGGAATAGTGCTGCGTTCAGATACAGGATGGACCGCAATAACAAAGAGACTCAATGCGGTGGCTGAGAGGCAAGTTCATTTCTCTTACCCAGGGATGGAGCAGGTGATCCAGAGCTACAGCAGTGGCTCCATGGGGCAGGGAGCCAGGCTCTCCGCCTTGTTACTCCACCTTCTCCTAGGGGATTCCTTTGGTCCAGGTGGTTCCTTCACATGAATGATGGCTTCATAGTCCAGCAGGTACGAAGGAGAAAAGAGTGAGGGAAGGCGCAACCGCTCTTTTGAAGGCCATGGCCTGGAACTTACCCAGCTTCCTACCTTAACTGAGTGACATGAGCACAACTAGAAAAGGAGGCTGGGAAATGTAGTCTTAATGCTACGTTGTCCTATGACCAGCAAAAATGTGGGGATTTCATTATTAAAGGCAGAAAGAGAGCATGTTAGGGGGACAAGAAGGCAATCAAAGGGGTAGATTAGGAGGGATGGGAATATCGTCGTCCACCCAGCAAGGAAGACAGTGTTGGGCACATAAAGGAGAGTGGGAAATGTCAAGGCAGAAATGACAGCTGATGATGACGGGGGGAACGAAGCCACTGACCACTGAGGACCCTGTGATCTGGATGGCAAAGAGGGTATTGTGTTAGGAGGCCAGCAAAGACAGGGACCTGGGGTTCACTGGGGCGTTGTGCAGGGCGCTGCGGCATGGTGGGCACACTGACTGTGGGACTGTAGAAGAAAGTACAGTTTGGGGACTGGCGCGTCAGCACCTCAGTGTCTTTACTGGGAAAATCTGGTTCTGTCTGGGATTTTTCTCTGCTATGTGAATTCCTTGCTCATTCACTATGGGGTCACTTCATTGATTTTCTACTCTTTTTTCTATTTTCTTATATGAGCTGTTCTCATTAATCTCTACTGCCAATTGTTTCAATGTAACGGTATTACCAAGAGGTACCGTTGGACTACGGACTTTCTGAGGTGTTTTAGATGTGACCTTGACTTGGTTAAAAAGGATGGATGCAATCACCTTCCAAAATCTCCAAATTTATCACCCTAAAACCTCCAGTTGGGTGGTTGAAAACTGCAATATAAAGTCAGACAGATTTAAACTGGCATGAAACAATGTAGAGAAGGCTTATCAGTACACTTAAAAAACACTTTTATAGTTTTCATCTCCATCCTCAATTTGATAGCTCCAAGCTACAAATGATTCTTATAAACATCTGCTTCTTGTGTTTATTATGGTTTTGGATTTTTGTGCCAAGAATATGCATGACAGGGCTGCCATTCTTTTCGACCAAATGTATCTGAACATGTGTTTCTGCATTCTCATCTGTTTCTCTGTAGAGAAAACATGCATTGAACCAACAGCATGTCTGGAGCAGTATCTTGTGATTTCAACAGCTTCCCTCTGTGATCCACCAAACAGATATTCATGGTGGGCACTCTGTGCTCTCAGCCTGAATCTAACTCTGCCAAGCCGTGGTTCTCCAGCTCAGATATGGATGGTGTTAACCGGGGGTCTTCCGGGTTGTTGGAGCCTCCAGAGCCTGGAGGAAGTGCAGCGTGTCAAGTGTGCCTATGCAAACTCAGCTTTAATCTGCTAAGAAGTGACAGAGCATATTGGATGACGGGAAAACCTGCCATATTGTTCCTCAAGCACTGAATCATCAAGAAATGCTCAGTAGCGATGAATACGAAGTAAGTTACCTGGGTTCTGGCTCAGTCTTGTCACTCAAAACGCTTTGGTAGGTCATTACAGCTCCATATGCATGTGGCTGAGAATAAAGAGTGTGAATGTGATGCACATGTAAACACACAATTACGGTATTCTGTGTGAGTTCTAGATTGGAGGTTGTAGGGCTACAAACCAATTAGAGCACCTAAGCTGGGATTTGATGCAGCAGAGCAACGCCTCCCACATTCTGGCATTTCAGGGTGCCCTCCGCTCACTCTATAGTGAAGCTGTCAGCCAAAGGATGTATGTGCCAGCGACACTGACAGTGTAAACGTAAAAACTATAGGGACTGAGATGACAGAAGACAGAGGAGTAGAAGTAGGAATAATTGAAGGTATAATTATTAAGCAATATTATAGAAATATTGCTCTTACAAAGCAGGGACACAAGAGGTTTCATCTTTAGTCGATGGAAAGAGAAATAATGGAGTAAATAAAACGACATTGACCGACAGGAACAACAGAGAGACTGAAATGGTGATGAAGCTTTATTGGCGGGAAGAATTAAGGAGAAGTTGTGGAGAGGCTCAAGGGAGCCGAAGTCAATAGACAGTGCCTAAAAATAGAAACATATTGTTTAGAGATGTGGAAATAGCCACTTAAAAGGGTTTGCCTCGGGAGCGGGGCTGGGGAGGCATTAGGATTTGTTCGTTGTTTTTCTTTATAAGCTCTTTGTACTGATGGAGATTTTTAAGTCTCATTGCATTGGTTAGAATTAAGTTTAGTAGCAAGTGACAGAATGCCACAAATAACAGCTTAAATAAGAAAGATGGCTATTGTCTTCTCATGTAAATTTAGTTCAGGGGTAAGCAGCTCAGGACTGTTGTGGTGGCCCTGTTGTACACAGCCTTCAGGGCCCCAGGCTTCCCCAGTTCAGGGCTCCACAATGCCATCCCTAGGCTGCCATCTTCATCCTCATGGTCCAAGATGGCCACATCCGTGTTCCAGGTAGCAGAATGGAGGAAGAGAGGAAAAAGAGGGCAAATGGGGCACTGGCCCTGGCATGCTGCACCTTAGACAAGGGTCCGAGAAGCTGTCTCATGATACTTCCTCTTATATTTAATTGGCCAGAACGTAGTCACATGGCTACACCTGCTGTGTGAGCTGCAAATGAGCTGGGAAATGTAGTCTTTATACTAAATTTCTATGTCCATATTTTAAAACTCAATTACTATGGATAAAGGGGAGGATATATATTGTTGGAGAGCTAGCCACCCCTCCTACACTCACCTTGATATAAATAACAAAAATCACGAGCATTAACAATAAGACTGTGTTTTCATAAGATAATGCTGGAAAAGAAAATATCAAAAACTGGAAAGGATTGATAGAAGGAGAGAAGAATGGGTAGATGAATGGATACATGAGAAGCAGGCATGCTGGAATGATCATTGGGAAATCTAGGTAGTTGGTATGTTTAGTGTAAAATGTTCAACTTCTCTGTATACTTGAAAACATTAATAATGTTGTGAGAAAATAGGTTTAGGGAGAAAAAGAGCGATTATTTTTTAAACTATTTTTGAAATTCACAGCGGGTCTGTCCCAAGGACTTGGTTTTGCCCATCGCTCTTCTTTCCTCAGCTTTCCTTCAGGACTCCTTTGGTTCTTCATATCCTGACTTGCTTCTCCCACACCCAGTGCCCCGACTCCCTGCGTTTCTCTGCCCCTTTATGTTCTGGCTTCTGTCTAGGTCTTAATACACGGCTTCTGGTGCCTCGGGCTGGAGCCCCCCCCGGGTTACCCCCAATCTGAAAATGAGTCAGAGAGAGTCCTGGCCCTGGTGGCCCAGCTCACTGGCATGACCGCCTGGGCAGGCTCCCCTCCCCCTTCCCTAGCTGGAATAATTAAACACAGTATTTTGTTCAACAACTTTGAAGACAATTTCCTTCCTTCCTCCCTCCATTTCCTCCTTTGTTTTGTGACAAAGTATAGCAGTTATATCATAGCTTATAGAATGATGAAGGGAGACAGGGCTAGTTCTAAGATACATGCACTTTATAAAACCATCAGCATAATTAAATCTCAATGCAGGTCATGGTGAGGTTTTGGCCAACCATTCACTGAGTCAGTGAGTATTCAGTGCTTCCTATGAACCAGACACCATAATGGCTGTGGGCATTGATTCATCCTGGACACCAGTCGTTTGGGAAGCAGCTTAGTTTCCCAATGAAAGCTGTAACAGGGCCTGCTGATACACGATCTTTGGGGTGGCACTACAGCTGACCTTGCCTGATTAGAGGTCCTTTCGGGAATTTGGTAACTAAGCACCTTGGACGGGGGCTGGGGCCCTGTGCTAGAATGCATCCTCCTCTGCAGGGTTTGTGCTGAGAGCCGTATGCCATTGCTGGACTCAGACCACCTGCCCCTACTCATCACACAATCGCCTCATGATTCGAGCTCGCAGGTGTGTTTCATGCTTGGCAAAATCTGAAGTGAGCAAACTGTGCAGACTCTGCCTCTCTCTGTACCTTTCCAGTTCGATGCAATCCAGTTCCTTGCCTAAGTAGTTCTTCCATTTATTCCACGTCAACAATCACCACTTACTTTCTTGATACTCTAGTTTATATGACTTTGGATAAACTTGTCATTGCCCAGATGAGTCTTTCATTATGTTGAGACATGCCATGCTATCCTTTCCTTTTTATTTTGCCTTGGAAAAAATTTAGTGTGTGGCCTTTGTGTAGTGTTTTCTGCCTAGTATTTCCAAACTGCCATTTCTGTAGAATTCAGCAAAAAGAGGAGAGGAGAGAAAATAAGGAGCGAAAGGGCAAAACAAAGCCAACTGTTTGGCTGAAAAACAAAAAAGCCTGCAGTCTCCTTAGCTAGCATTTCCTGTCAGGAACAACACGTGTTGAATTATTCACATTGTCTTCACTTTCTAGGTAAGAGCAGTAAAGCTTGTCAATAATGATGGGAAGGTTGCTGAACGCATCTGCCCCAGCCATCTGGCCTAAGTGACACTACTGGCCTCTTTATGCCCTTGAAAATACGTTATTTATTTATTTATTTATTTATTTATTTATTTATTTATTTATTTTTGAGACAGAGTTTTGGTCTTATTGCCCAGGCTGGAGTGCAATGGCGTGATCTCGGCTCACCGCAACCTCTGCCTGCCGGGTTCAAGCAATTCTCCTGCCTCAGCCTCCCGAGTAGGTGGGATTACAGGCATGCACCACTACACCCGGCTAATTTTGTATTTTTAGTAGAGACTAAATGTTGGTCAGGCTGGTCTTGAGAAAATATGTTATTATCAGATGCACCTGGTGTGAATCAGGATAGATCAATTGCTTTGCTATTTCTTTGCAATGTCTTTGTAGTAGAAGAGGACTGAGTTAATAATAAGAATAATAATAATTCAGGTGCCTCTTCCTAGGGCTTCCTCAGGACTCATCAGTTTGGGAGCTGATGGGCTAACCCCCTCCCCGTTCCTCCTGAGCAGGGGACACTGAGTAACACACTGATGGGCTAACCCTCCGTTCCTCCTGATAAACACAAGTAACAACTGTGGGCTAACCCCTCCCGTTCCCCTGAGTAACACACTAGTAACACACTGATGGGCTAACCCCCTCCCCTTCCCCTGATAACACACTATAACACACTGGCTAACCCCTCCCTTCCCCTGAGTAACACACTAAGTAACACACTGATGGGCTAACCCTCCCGTTCCCTGGTAACACCCTAGTACCACTGATGGGCTAACCCCCCCCCCGTTCCTCCTGAGTAACACACTAAGTAACACACTGATGGGCTAACCCCCTCCCCGTTCCTCCTGAGTAACACACTGAGTAACACACTGATGGGCTAACCCCTCCCCGTTCCTCCTGAGTAACACACTGAGTAACACACTGATGGGCTAACCCCCTCCCCGTTCCCCCTGAGTAACACACTAAGTAACACACTGATGGGCTAACCCCTCCCGTTCCCCGGTCTGAGAACACAGCTAACCCCTCCCCGTTCCCCCTGAGTAACACACTAAGTAACACACTGATGGGCTAACCCCTCCCCGTTCTCCTGAGTAACACACTAGTAACACAGGCTAACCCTCGATCTGAGTAAACACTAACCACTGATGGGCTAACCCCTCCCCGTTCCTCCTGAGCAAGGACACTGAGTAACACACTGATGGGCTAACCCCTCCCGTTCCCCTGAGTAACACACTGAGTAACACCTGATGGGCTACCCCCTCCCGTTCCCTGAGTAACACACTAAGTAACACACTGATGGGCTAATCCCCCCTCCCCTGTTCCCCTGAGTAACACACTAAGTAACACACTGATGGGCTAACCCCTCCCCGTTCCTCCTGAGTAACACACTGAGTAACACACTGAACTGATGGGCTAACCCCCCTCCCCGTTCCCCCTGAGTAAGGACACTGAGTGAACACTGATGGGCTACCCTCCCCGTCCCCTGAGAACACTAGTACACTGATGGGCTAACCCCCTCCCCGTTCCCCCTGAGTAACACACTGAGTAAACACTGATGGGCTAACCCCCCTCCCCCCGTTCCCCTGGGACACTGAGTACACACTGATGGGCTAACCCCTCCCTCGAGTACACTAACACACTGATGGGCTAACCCCCTCCCCGTTCCCCTGAGTAAACACTGAGTAACACACATGCAACCCCCCCCCCCCTGAGAAACACTAGTAACACACTGATGGGCTAACCCCCTCCCCCTTCCCCTGAGTAAGGAACACTGAGTACACACTGATGGGCTAACCCCCTCCCCGTTCCCCTGAGTAAGGAACACTGAGGAACACACTGATGGGCTAACCCCCTCCCCGTTCCCCTGAGTAAGGGACACTGAGTAACACACTGATGGGCTAACCCCCTCCCCGCTCCCCCTGAGTAACACACTGAGTAACACACTGATGGGCTAACCCCCTCCCCGTTCCCCTGAGTAAGGAACACTGAGTAACACACTGATGGGCTAACCCCCTCCCCGCTCCCCCTGAGTAAGGAACACTGAGGAACACACTGATGGGCTAACCCCCTCCCCGTTCCCCTGAGTAAGGAACACTGAGGAACACACTGATGGGCTAACCCCCTCCCCGTTCCCCTGAGTAAGGGACACTGAGTGACACACTGATGGGCTAACCCCTCCCCGTTCCCCCTGAGTAAGGAACACTGAGTAACACACTGATGGGCTAACCCCCTCCCCGTTCCCCTGAGTAAGACACTGAGTAACACACTGATGGGCTAACCCCTCCCCGCTCCCCCTGAGTAAGGGAGCTGCTGGTGGCTCTCCTTGTTAATGCCTTTGGTACAAACTGCAGGACATATGAGAAGGAGCCTCTCTAAATGCATGCAGGTGGCTTCTTGCCTCGGGTAACAGCCTCATTGTCCCTTTGTGTCCTCACATTCAGTGAGTCTCCGGCAAAACAATAAGTGACACTGTAGAAAAGGCAGGAGGGCAAATAGGGATCCCTAAACAAAGAAGGTAGTTTGGGAAGAAGGAAAAAAAAGAAAGAAAGAAAATCCCTTGAAACATCTTAAAAGCAGCCAACCCTGAGCATGGCCGTATGAAAAGACATTCTCTTTTATTTCACCAAGTCGACTTGAGTTTACTTCTGTTTTTTCTTTTCTTTTCTTTTTTTTTTACTTTAAGAGATTTTGTGGCACAAACAAGTTTCTCCAGAAATCAAGACAATGGGCATTTTAAATGATCCATTGAAAGGATCTTTTAATTTAAGCTGACGTTTCAGACTATATTTTAATAATACCGGCTGCATAACAAAAGCAAAAAGAGCAACAGTCAAACAGCGCTTCGGGTGGAACGGCACCTTTCTCAGCGGCGCGCACAGTGACTTATAAATCTTGTTAATTCACAGGGCAAGCACCTCATCACCTGGACAAGCAGGCAGCGACGAGTGCCCTTTTTTGCAGATGGGCAACCAAGGAAGCAAGTGACCCTTCAGAGATTCCAGTATCGTGGCCTGAACGTACAGAAATGTTCCAGGCCAGGCTGATCCTGCCGTCTTGCCCCCAAGCTGAAGAGGTCACAGCATCACTGTTCAAACCTCATGTCTTGGCCCTTTTCTGCTAGCCAGTGCCTCAGAGAGTCCACCGCACCTGGTAGGAGAAGGTGGCGGCTTTAAGTCCTGTGGCCAGTTCAAACCTAGGCCAGGACTCTTCTTTCTGTAATCAACTTGTTTTTCAACTTCATCTTGTTTATTGCCAAATCTAGCTTTGTGACGTCGGCTTACTTGATTAAGTTCTTGAAACTGTGGTTTCCTGATTTATTAAATTGGAGCAATGACACCCA